AGGAATTGTGTGAGATGAATTATCAGAAATATATATATGTGTTTGTGTGTGTGTGTGTGTGTGTGTGTGTGTGTGTGTGTGTGTGTATACAGATATATATATATATATATACATATTTTTTGGTCTGCCGTGACAATAACAATCTATCCCCAGAAAAGTCATTTTAGTCCAAACATCCTGTAAAGTCTCTTCCTTTCAGTGGTGAAGTGAGTCACTTCAGGCAAAAAAAAAATGTAATCACTTCTTTCGGCCTCTGAGTCTGTGTTGAGGCAATCCTGAGGGCTTCCTGAAGACTTTTTCTGCTGAGGCTAAAGTGCTACTGAGTAGTAGGTATGTAATCTGGAACAATGAGAGAGCTTTGAAGACTCACCCTCAGGTTAGATCACTACACTATTACGTAAGAGGCCTAATTTCAAGTCCTTGATCTCAGTCTCCTTTTTCTTGCCCCTCCCTCTTCAAGTTAGGTCAGATGCCAAGGAGTTAATTGTTAACATGGCATAGGTTTACACATAGTTTTGGCAGGATTCTCACCCCACTTACCTACCCTGCTTCAGGCCAGGACAAAAATGTTTTCGGAGTCCAGAACAGAACATGGTTGGAGCCTTTATTAAGAGAAAGGAAATCAGGATGAAGTAACACCAACAGTTAGTATGTGGGAAAACTCCTCAAACTTTGACAGCAAAAATATGTACATTTTTGTTGTTGTTCAGTCATATCCAACTCTTCGTGATCCTATTTGGGGTTTTCTAGGCAAAGATACTGGATTAGTTTGGCAGTTCCTTCTTCAGCTTATTTTGCAGATGAGGAAACTGAGGCAAACCCGGTTAAGTGGCTTGCCCAGTATCACATAGCTAGTTAGTTTCTGAGGTCAGATTTGAACTCAGGTCTTCCTGACTCCAGGCCCAGTGCTCTATCCACTGTACCACCTAGCTGCCCCATGTATTTTTTAGTTGTTTTCAAATTTTAACATTAATAAATATATATGTTATATGTACATATATATTATTTTTTTAAAAATATGTTATTTCAGTGACCCACAAAAAAGCCAAACAAACTCATCTGTCAGGCATACCACCTCAAAGGCAAATAGCCGTATATGCTAACGGTCACTGATTTGGAGCCAGAGGACCTGGGTTGGAATCCCAGGTCTGGCACTTAGTACTTGTATGATTTTGTTTACTCATATGTACAATGAAAAAGTAGTAGCAAACTCAGATAGAAACAGTGACCACCAGTCTGTAATAAGGTTCCCATTAGGCCACATATTAACTTAAATTTACAATGTCACATTATCTATATTTTACTGTGTTTGTATTCATTTTGTTAAATATTTACCAATGGCATCTTACTCTGGTTCTGGATGTACTTGCTGGTGTTATGGGCTGCCCAGGCCTCCTGTGTGGCCCCTCTGGACTAGAAGATCTTTTAAGACTGAACTCTAAACAGGGGTCCTATGATATGTGCATATTCATAAGCCTCATGGAGACTGAAACTTATTGGAAATAGAATGCATTGGGATCAATGGCCATTTGTTGGGCCATGAAGTAGTTTCATTTCTGGTTCAATCCATTGATTTCAGTTGGGGGACATTGGCATTGCTACTTGGCTTTGCTTCAAAGATCTAATGTAGCCTTAATTCACCCCTAATTCTAAGAACCATGTAATTCCTCAAGCACAGTGATTTTTGGGTGGTGCGGTGCCTGGAATTTCTTAGAGGTATCTGGGCTCTACCAGACAGTAACTCAAACCTCCAGAAGCTCCTTTAGCCTGACTGACATTTAAGGTCTATATAATCCAACTCTGATCTTTTTTCTAGCCTTATCTCTCATTATTACTCTACATATGCCTCATGTTCCAGCCAGAAATGATCTGCTCACCATTTCCCGAATATACCTGGAACTTTCTTATTTCCATTTACTTCGCACACTTTCACATTCCATTCTACAATTCAAAATCCTTCTCATTCCTCCTCATGAAGCATTCCCCATCACCTAAGCTGAAAGTGGCCTCTCAATTTTCTATAATCTCTGGAGCCAGCATGATGTAGTGGAAATAGTGTTGGGTTTGGGATCAAAGGCCTGGGTTCAGCTATCAGTCCTCCTTTCTGTATCATCCTGGGCAAACTCTCTGGGTCTCAGTTTCCTCATTTGTAAAAATAAAGAGGTCCTAGTAGATGACCTGTAGAGGTCCTTTTAAACTCTTTCTGTAGACGTTGAGTAGTATGAAGAAAACCTTAGATGGCACTCAAATTTAAGATCCCAAGTCACTTCTACAATTTTTTTCCCTTTCATGTCCTATGCTGTGCCAACTGATATAGCAGTTACCTTATTTTTACTTATATTACAATTATTTGTGTTCAAGTCTTATGTCCTCAGCAATTAATCCCAAAGGACAGAGATAATTGCTCATGGTGTTTCATACATTGCTAATGTTCAATAAATATTCATTGGAGATCAGGTGGTACAGTGTATAGCACTTGGGCTTGAAGTCAAGAGGACTTGAGTTCAGATCCTACTTCTGACACTTAATAGCTTTGTGACCCTGGGCAAGTCACTTAACTGTCTCTGTGCCTCGGTTTTCTTATCTGTAAAACAGGGATGATGATGATAATAATAATAATGATAATAATAACTACCTCTCAGGGTTGTTGTGAGGACGAAATGAGTTAATATTTATAAAGCACATTGCAAACCTTAAAGCGCTATATAAATGTTAGTTATTGTAGTTATTCATTCAATCATTTTTGCCAAACTGGTCATGTGTCCCCTCTGCTAAGATACTATAGACCTTCATCCCATCATAGATCATAGAAAACTGAGGTAGAGTAGATTTTAGAGATCACCTAGTCCAGTCCCTCATTTTTTTTTAAAGTTTTATTGGAGTGTTTTGTTTTCTATATTACAAACACTTACAAATTACTCCCACTTCCTGAGAGTTCTTTTGTGGCAAAATAAAACTGGTAATATGATGACCTCATCTGAAAGCATGTGCAACATTTCACATTTATAGCACTCCCTCTACTTCTCTCTTTTTAAAAATAAAATCTATTTTTCCTACCTCTCATCCCATCCTCATTAAAAAAAGAAAAGAAAAAACTTTTCATAACAAATATGCAATCAAGCAAAATAAATTTTCTCAATGATTGTATCTCTCTCTCTCTATATATATATATACATATGTATATGTATCCATGCACACATATACATGTAAACATATATATAGACATTTAGGTGTATATGTGCACGTACATGTATATTCGTAGGTATATTTATGCATGCATATTTGCACATGTGTACCTTAAGTCCATCCCACTCTGTCATGAATAGCCTGTTTCATCATTGGTCCACTAGAATCATGGATGGTTATTGTATTGACCATGGTTTAAATAGCTTTCATAGTTGTCTATTTTTATAGTGTTATTGTTATTATATATATTTACCTCCTAGATCTAACCATTCCATTCTTCATCAGATTATAAAAGTCCTCAAAACTGCTCATTTTAATAATATTGATGTTATAAGTTGTTCTTCTGGTTCTGCTCACTTCACTCTGCATTAGTTTATATAATCATCCCCTTCATCATTTCTTACAGCACAATAGCACATCCATCACGGACACCATGATTTATTCAACCATTCCTCAACTGATGGACATCCCTTTAGTTCCCAGTATTTTTGCCATCACAAACTGAGAGTCACAGTGCTAAAGTGACTTGCTCAAACTCATATAACTATCAAGTGGGCCTTCTGACCCCAAGTCAAGGTGGTTCTATCTGCTACACCCTATCTACTGTATTCTATCCACTGAAAGAAATTCAATGCCTCCAAAAAAAATAAGGTACTAATTTCACGGTATGAACAAAAAGTACAAAAGAAAGAAAGGTGAGCTCACTGTGAGCTGAAGTACTAGGGAAAAGTTCATGGAAGTGATGGGACTTGAGCTAGGCTGTGAAGGATGGGCAAGCAATAACTAAATAGAGGGCCTAGGGCCTGGATACATGCAGGAAGGTAGCAGAAGGCTTAAGAATGTTCTCCAAAAGACTTTCCAGTTCCAGCATCCATATAAATAGAAAGAGTTCATTGTCTTTTAAGTTTCTCTGTGTCTCTAGCACTTAGCACAATGCCTGGCATGTAATAGGTGTTTAATAAATGTTTATTGATTAACTGACTGATTTCCAAAACAAACACTAAAAGAAGCTAGGGAAGTTAATAAAGGAAATATAAGAAATCCCCAAGAAATACTGAATGGACAATCAGACACCTGTATCGTAGGTAGAATTATCTGTTGGCAAGCAGCGATGACTTTTGCCCCACAAAACTAAATTCTTATAATTTATTTAGCACCTATTTACCCACAGTTCTTTGCTGTACAATGTGAAACTAGATAAAAACAGATGTGGTTCTTAAGTTAAAGCAAGAAAAGACGGGAGATAATCTGACCAGAAGGAAAAGTATCATCTAGTTAGACTATGGAAGGTCTTGATTTATGCTCCAGACTCATGCCAATGCCCTTTGTATTTTCATAGTTCCCTGTTTCCAATAGCTGCTAACTTATAGCCCAAGAGCTGCCACATTTTGGATTCCTCTTTGGCCTCTATTTGTTGGATGACATTCAGTATTTTTATCTCCTTATCTTCTAGATTAGTTAAGTGATTCAAATTGCACATGCCTACCTTCACACACACACACACACACACACACACACACACACACACACGCAAGAAAACTTAAATATCTTGCAGAATTAAGAAATTCAGTGTTCTAAAAAGCTTGCACAATGGCATCATAGCCCAGGTATTAATGCCACTATGTACCATTAAGTCTTGTTTTACAAGAAATCTACTTTTTTCCTATTTATTTATGCTGTTATATTATCTAGTCAGGTGTACCTTCATATTCTATGATCACTCTTGTCTAATTTACATTGAGATCAAGAACAAGAAGGCCACTCGTTGTATTCCAATTCCCATCCTTCATTAAGTAAATTTGACCTTTTTGCAGCCACCAAGGGATGAGAGTCTGAATGGCCTTCTGGTGGGGTACCGAATCTATTATCGGGAGCTGGAATATGAAGCTGGACCTGGAACAGAATCCAAGAGTGTCAAAAATCCCTCAGCTCTAAGAGCAGAGCTCACACGTGAGTATCCTTTCCTTCCTGACCAACATTCTGAACTTACATGACGTGGAATGACTAGTCAGATGCAGTTAAAACACCTCTGGGTAGAGCTCAGAAGAGTTGCCGGGGAATTATGACCATTTGGAATCAGAGATAAACTTTGATCGTTAATATACAGCCTGAGCGACCTCAGTTCTGCCTGGACGGATGTTGATTAGCTGTGATAGAGATGGGATGATACCAGAGACTTAAACGTCCTGAAAGATCTGCTTCTCTCCCATCTCATCCTTAATCTAGGGAAACATTGGTACTTTTTTTTGTTTGTTTGTTTTCTGGTTCTGGGAATAATGTTACAAATAATAGCCATTCCGCCTGTGACATTCGGGCAGCTGTGCCTGGAGTCAGGAAGACCTGAATTCAAAGCTGGCCTCAGATACATACTAGCTGTATGACTCTGGGCAAGTAACTTAACCTTGTTTGCCTCAGTTTCCTCATCTGTAAAATGAGCTGGAGAAGGAAATGGCAAACCATTCCAGGATCTTTGCCAAGAAAACCCCAAATGGGGTCACTAAGGGTCAGATATGACTGAACAGCAGTAACAACTATGACATTATAACACAATAGGAAAATGAGGGTGCCACATTTTTACTTTTTTGACGGTCGCATTATATTGCTCCTTATCACCTTTCATTGTCTTAGGTTATTTACTGTAGCACCATTTGCTGTATTTCTTTTACTCCCCTGCTTGCTGGTAGCTCATCTGGTGGTAACCTTTGATTTAGACCAGGTTCTTTTCATCCAAATAATCTGTAGAAACAGAGGCCCCACTTGCTTAAATAGCAGCTGTTTTCCTTCTTTTCATGTTTCACTACTGTGGTTTAAAGTTGGCTTAGTACCAATAATGCAGGATCAGCTAATCTAGTTATAATTTGGGAAGGAAATTTGATGAAGGGAAATGATTTTTTCGGAGAGACTTCATCTGCCTTCACAAAGAAATATTGACATATCCCTTAGCTGTCCCTTGTTGATTACCAACATGCAATGATCATTTCCCTGGGTTTGTTTTGTTATTGTTGTATTTTTGTTTTGTTTTGGTGTGTGTGTGTGTGTGTGTGTGTGTGTGTGTGTGTGTGTGTGTGTTTTCTTTTAACTTAACAGTGCACTGCTGATACTAGAGATGCTCCATTCTCAAGCACAGATGCTGAACCATTTTATTTATATTATAGAAATCCATGATTTCAAGTGTCCTTCAGCTTTAGGGTTGTCCTGTTCTTTTAGGACCAATGCCCTGCACTTTAGCATGAGCAGGCTGAAAATGATGCACACCACATAGTAATTGGAAAAGTAATTTCTGACAGAAGTAGCTTTGAGTTCTTCTAGTGTGGCTGTATGCTACGTCATGTCAAATACTAATTTGTTCCATTTAATCAAAGGAATAAACACATTTCCCCCACGTCGTGTATTCGCATGGCTTTCTGTTTTATGAAGGAACGCAGTAATCCCCAGCGAATGGGATGGTTTGATGTGTTATGGGAGGCAGTGTGGATTTTATCACCCTTTGAGTTGCAGTGCTAAAGCTAGAACTGAGGCTGTCTGGGGTTTGCATCATTTCCCTCTGTCTCTGCTGTACATCATTTACAATAACTATTTCCCTGCATGGTAACTAGCTTTCTGCTTTGCTTACCCTGAATAGCCCAAAGCAGCTTCAAGACAGTGAACAGCAGCTCTGCATTAACAACGTATGAATTAACACGTAAGTGAACACTGCCTTTGGCACAAAACCTTTGTAACTGTGGAAAGTACAATCTGGGCAAATGCTATTGGCCTTCTCAATGGACCAAACAGAAACTAGCTTGAATTAATGGTTTCTCTGCTTTTCAATATTTGCTAATGATAATAATAATAATAAAATAAAAGTTAGGAAACGTTCAGAAACAGATATTGGGGCAAGGAATTTAATGACATCTAGGTCTTCATGGTTTTTAATAGTAAGAGAAATATGACTTGTTAACCCCTCCTTTCTAATTACATCTGAATTTTAACCAAATCATATGGCTTTTCCTTTAATTCTTGAATAGGGATGTTTTCCAGCTGCAAGGAAAGGCTTAGGGAGGGACTCAAAAAATTTGCTTTTGGTAGAGAAGGGCACTGTGTTAGAAAATGAATAAACAAAGTTAAAAGGCCAACTGTTGTATAGTGATAATGGTTCACTAGATAGAGCTTGCTCCAGGCTTTTGAATTACATATCTGATGCAGGCCAAAAAGTTAAGCTCAAACCCCACACAAACCACATGCCTATTTTTACTCGCATATGGGCCATTTTCCTCTGACCGGGCCTCATTTCCTTCTCATGGTTTGCCAGTAGAATGAACTCTATTGTTGAACCCCCAAGGGAAGTCAAGCTGAATCAAGAAAGCCATTTCTTGTGACTGTGTATTATTTATAAGGTAACAAATTTCCAGAGATGTCACAGATATCATTTCATGTGAATCTGAAACCAAAGACAGATGCTGGACTCCTGACTCAATGTTTCTTTGAAGGTAAATTTGGAAGAATGTCAAGGTATCAGATTCGTTGAACCTTTATTGGGCTAATGATATGCTGAGGACCATGAAGTTGAAAGCATGGTCCCCTTTGTGAGCAGACAGTGTCAGCAATATGACACCTTCACATCTTTGTATACAGGTGCACATACACAAATGTAGGAGTTTAACCCACAACTTCAAACATGACTTTGCACTTCTTTATATATTGGTTGAATATTTCTGCCAACCAGATGAGTGCCAAATTCTCCTCTGGAAACCAGCCCTAGATAATTAGGTTTAGACACAATACATGCTAATGGATAACTCTAGAGCCTTTGGTCTGTTCCTCCCTTCTCACATTGGTCTTGTCATACCTCTATTCTAGTCAAATCAGATAGATTGTTCTTAAACACCTACTGTGTATAAGGTACCTTGCTAGGATTGTGCATCGATAATGTATCTAAGCCAAAACTACACTTTGCAATCCATATACCAAGTATGCTGCAGAAAAGAGAATCTGGTTCAGTGCTTGCCTCTGAATACAGAATAAGATGCTTTTCTGCAATGTAGCTGCTTAATTAATGATTAGTAGCAGAAAGGGCAATACTGTTAATGATCTAGTTGAGATTTTATATACATTCTCATAAAGACTGCATTCAAGAAAGACTTCTAAAGAAATTTCCCCCTGTTCAATGAGTTTTGGGAAGTTCAAAAGGGAATATATTTTTTAAAATAGGTAATAGTCCTAAGAAATAGGTGTTAAAATATTTTTTTACTCCTGCTTTTTTTTAAACTTTGCAGATTTGAAGAAATATAAGCGCTATGAAGTGATAATGACTGCATATAATATCATTGGGGAAAGCCCAGCTAGTGCTCCGGTGGAAGTCTTTGTAGGAGAAGCTGGTAAGCACCTGTTATGTTTCCTATCCAATGTCATTATTTCAAGACACTAAAAATGGAGTAACTACAAATGCAACTTCATGTCCTTCCCAACGAAATATTACAATATCGGTGTTATTCCTTCTCTCAGCTGAGTAATCTGGAATGAGAGAACATTGAGCTTTTCATAATCATGGTTTCTCCAGTGAAATAGGTCTGTCTGGAAAAGGCTGACTGTTGAGAGTTGTGATTTCCTTGATGCCGAAGTGAACTCTCAGGCTTTGCTTCTGAGACTCAAATATCTGAAGTTAAAATACTTATTACAGTTGGTGATTGAAATTTGCTTGAATTAGGAGAATAAAACAAGTTATTGTTGCAATGGAAAACTAATATGGTATATAACTTGAATTAACAATGAATTAATTGTTTTGGTTTTCCTTTTTTTGTATACCCAACACTTAGCACAGTAGCTGGTATATAGTAAGTGTTTTTAAAATGTATGTTGATTGATTAACAGATAGTGATCATTTCAGAGGAAGGTCAGGTTTTGAGGGAAATATGCTGTTTGATTCTGGAACATATGTTGAACTTGAGGTATTGTTGAACCAGTGGGCAGTTGGTGAATGCAGTACTGAGATTTAAAGAAAGAGTATATAGGACTAGAGATATAGATTTTGGAGTCATTCATATATAGGAATCAGCTGAATCTGTGGGAATGAATGAAATCATCAAAGGAAGAGAGAACGGAAAGGAGAGCCAGAACAGAAGCTTGGGGATAGTCATGCATTTAAGGGGTAGGAAGAAAAGGGGGGCCAGAAGTGGAGGGGTCAGAGATGAAGAGAAGACCCGTGACAGCACATTGTTATGAAAGCCAGAGGAAACCAAGAGAAAAGAGATTGTCAGGAAGCAGGACGTTGGTCAATGTTGTCAAATGATGACAGAGCAGAAAATGAGGGAAGGCTAAGAAAGCACCATTGGATTTGGCAGCAGCACCTTGGAGAGTGCAGTTTAAATTCAGTGGTGCATATAGGCACCAGATTACAGGGAGATGAGGAATGAGTAGATAATAGGTGAACAGAATTAGTGAACATAAATGAGTCTAAAATTGAAATGAAGTTTCCAAGTGGCAGGGAAGAAGATCAGCATGGAAGTGTTGTTTGGGGGAGTAACAGAGTCGAAGGAAAGTTTGTGATAATAAAAATTCCCTTGAATTTTATAGTATTTTTTTCTAAGAAACCCAGAGCATCTCATAGACAGTGACTCAGACTTGTTGGAAGGAGGTATAATGTTGCAAAGAGGATAGGATATGACAGATGTTTCAGCTGTGAGTGTGACCTTTTGTAATTTGAGAGTAACTTTTCTCATACGTTAATTGTTTAGACAAGTGCCCCAAAACTTTGGTTGATGAATTTCTCTGGAACAATCAAATAATATTTTGATGAAAGCAAAAAGGAAATAGAAATTTTAAGGTATTTTCATCTCTGTCTAGTTTTTTCAAAAAAGACTAGAAACTATGGCATAGCATTGACCTTTACCCCTTTCCATGCAACTTCTCATGTTTCCCTTCCCTATAGGACCCCTAACTCCAACTCATTATTCACTGGTAGATTCAGGGGCAGATCCCCCCCCCCATACACACACATGCACACACCTCCCACTTCCCCATTCATTCCATCCCTGTAGCTTAACCCTGCCCAGACCTCCTCATTACCTACTTAGACCTAGATCTTTATAACTTTAAGTAATAATTAAATGAACCCCATCCATTAGGCCCAATTTCTTTGTTATTTTATCTGGTTATATTCCTGAGCTTTTGAGATCCCAAGACAAGTCCCTTAGACTGTGGTTAGCCCTGGGGGGCTTAGGTACAAAATCAGGGCAAAACAAGTCATTAGTCATTCCAATATTGGTCACATTGGGCACCTCCCTCCCCTCACTTTTCTAATCAGTTGCACAGTCTTAACAGTTCTACTTCTATATCCATCCCCATCTCTCTACTCACACAGCTCCCAACCTAATTGAGGTCTTTATGACCTCTCATATGGACTGTCACTATGATATTCGATAAATACTTGTCAAGTTGAAAGCCCATTTAGTAAGGTTTATCCCCAACTTTCAGGATGGAGGATCAATATAGCCTTAACCCTATGAGGAAGCTTTGAACATTCACAGAGAAGCTTTTGGCTCTTCAGTAAATCTCTGCTCAAACATTTTAATGCAAAAATGCTAAGAGAATAGCAATACAAATTCTGTGCCAAATTTTCATTCTAATGATTCGTCCTTACCCAGAAAAACTGGGATAAAAGTGATTGGAATTAATTTCCCATAGCAGGTGGTGTGGAGTAAGTGGAAAGGGATGAGACTAATAGAACAAGGCAAAAAAGCATCAGAAGATGCTTCTCACTAAACTGAGGTGATAAATTCCCTTGCGTGAAGGAGAAGGGGAAAATGATGCCTGTCGCCATAAATGATGGTGACATTGTCGACCTTCATGCTTCAAATGAGCTGATGCAGTGGATTTTTTCCTCTTCTTTTTAATTTTTTTCATAATGAGCTCCTATGGCAGTCTCAGCAAGAAAAAGGAAATGAAAGCCAGAGTGAAGGTGTGGTAGATGAAGACCTCTTTCTCTCGAGTCATGTTGAATGTCAGGATGCCGGATGGATAGCACAGATGCTTTCATCCCCTGATGTGCCAGTTTCACCCTCCTCTTCAAAATGTCCTTCCCACTTGTCTTCAGCTCATTTCTTCCTCAAAGATTTTGTTGGGGGTGATTTCCCCTATACCCTGATGACTTTGGGATCCCGGAATGTTAACTTCTGAACTAGCTGAGTAGATAAGCCAGGACACTTGAATACTTGCAGTGGCAATAAATTCTTTCCTTTCAACCCCTCCCAGCAGGATTTTGAAACCGAGTCAGAGCCTGCTTAGGGTCTTAAAAGCCTGGAACAATAAAAGCATTTCAACACATTGGAACTGGCAGCTACAATCACATTCCAATTGGGCCTTTTAGCTGTTTCACTTCAGTATTCATCTGTATTTATTATGTTTATGCATGCAAAAGGCTGTACAAAGATCAGAATTTCAACTCTGCCAGCAGAGCTGGGAGACTGTAACTCAACATTTTCATTCTCAACTCTAGTTTCTAAGCACTGTATTTAAATCTCTGAAACACCTCATACCACGTTAGAATACGCAGTATGTGAACCCACATATATACAGTCATTCCCCCACTCCTTTTTTAAACAATAAAAAGTATTGCAAACTTGTTGCTGTAGAGTGTCCAGGAGGTTCTATAACCCTTTTGGGAAAAGAAAAATGGAAGTCAATTTTGGTTAAATTTTGATCCAATCTTAGATGAGACCCTCTGGCTATGTGCTACAGTGTAGTAAAATAAAAAGAAGGAATAACTGCTCAGAAGATGTAATTTAAGGACTGAGCTAATCCTTAGGCATATAGGACAAAAAAATGGGAACTTTTAGGAGGCTTTCAATACAAGAAAGCCCAGTCCTTGTAATAAAGTGTGGCAAAAATAATAATATGCAGGGTATGCTTAAGTGTTCAAGTTTTCTTGGTAAAGAAGCCAAAACAATATTATAATCCATCATTTTTTATATCCTCCCTCCCCCCACTTTTCTAATCAGTTGCACAGTCTTAACAATTCCACCTCTACATTCATCCCCATCTGTCTACTCACACAACTCCCACCTAGTTGAGGTCTTTATGACCTCTTATATGGACTGTCACTTTGTTGTTCAGTCATGTCCAACTCTTCATGATCCCATGGACAATGGCACACCAGGCCCTTCTATCCTCCACTATTTTTCAAAGTCTGTCCATGCTCTTGCTTGTTGCTTCCATGACACTATCTATCCATCTCAATCGTCTGTCATCCCCTTTTCCTTTTGCCTTCAATCTTGTCCAACATCAGGGTCTTTTTCCAGTGAATCCCATCTTCTCATTATGTGGCCAAAGTATAGAAGCTTAAGCTTCACTATTTGACCTTCCAGTAAATAACCTGAATTAATTTAAGTATTGACTGATCTCTCTCCTTGCTATACAAGAGACTCTCAAAAGTCTTCTCCAGCACAACAATTTGAAAGCATTGATTCTGCAGTGCTCAGCCTTCCTTATAGTCCACCTCTCATATCCATACATTGCTACTGGAAAAACCATAACTTGGACTATACAGATTTTTGATGGCAAGGTGATGTCTCTGCTTTTTAGTATGCTGTCCAGATTTGCCATAGTTTTCCTTCCAAAGAGCAAGCATCTTTTAACTTCATGGCTATAGTTGCTCTCTGCAGAGATCTTTGAGCCCAAGAACATAAATCTAATACTATTTCCGTTTCTTCTCCCTCTGTTTGCCAGGAAATGATGGGACCAGTTGCTGAGATCTTAGTTTTCTTGATGTTAAGCTTCAAGTCAGCTTTTACACTCTCCTCTTTCACCCTCATCAAGAGGTTTCTTAATTCTTTACTTTCTGCTATCAGAGTGGTATTGTTTGCATATCTGAAATTGTTGATATTTCTCTTAGGAACCTTAATTCCATTTTTGATTCATCCAGCCTGGCATTTTGAATGATATATTCTGCTTAGAAGTTAAGTGAATAAGATGACAACATACAGCCTTGTCGTATTCCTTTTTCGATCTTAAACCAACCAGTTGTTCTCTGTTTATTTCAAACTATTACTTCTTGGCCTGTATATGGGTTCCTCTGGAGACAGGTAAGATGATCTGGTACTCCCATCTTTTTGGGAACTTGCCGCATTTTGTTGTGATCCACACAGTCAAAGGCTTTAGTCAGTGAAGCAGAAGTAGATGGTTTGTGTTTTTTTTTTAGAATTTACTTGTTTTCTCTGTAATCCAGTAAATGTTGGCAATTTGGCCTCTAGTCTGTCTACCTCTTTGAAAACCTGCATGGGGCAGGTAGGTGGTGCATTAGATAGAGCACTGGCCATGGAATCAGGAGGACCTGGGTTCAAATCTGCCCTCAGACACTTAACTTTCTAGCTGTGTGAGCTGT